AAAGGCTTGCCGCCATACATATTTATGATGCCTGGATCTCTTCCTGACCTAAATCCTAGGTCCAAATATGTAATGCTTAATCAAGGTGCAAAGTTGAGGTATTAGGGACTGATGTAGGTCTAGGATGGAAATCAAACTTCCCCTCCACCTTGAGAAAACTGACATCTCCACATTGACATCTCTCTTTATTCCAGGGGTTTTATATTACTCAGATGGACGAGAAAATCCCATCTATGATGACGGTATCTGTCAGTGACTGGGCTATATGACATCACATGGCAAACTGCATTTAAAGAAAGCACACCACCAATGAGATCATCAGATAAGTAGTCTTTGCTGGGATGAGGGCTCTTTTTGTATTCAATGGAATGTTCTCTTTCAAGTCCTATTGACAGTATACGTAGTTTGCCATCTTGGAAGCACTTTAAAGCTGGGTTAATACAGAGTTTACAAGCAGAAAGAAGAACATTCTGTTGCTCCCCAAGGTAATAAGTACTATGTTGTTCCCAGGTGATTTATTAAACTTTCCAAGCCTCACCTCAGTACTGGGCTCACAGAGATAAAGTGGGTTTTACTCATAATACTCACTAAAGCCCAATGCTACCAGTCTCATTTATATGAGAAGGAAAATTAAGAGACAGTTCAAAGTTGTTAAGCCAAGGCCTCCTTGAAAGTAGGATCCATGCTCAATGTTATAAAATGTGCTTGCTCATGATTTTCTGTTTTGCTTTTAAACAAGTTGAAAGTGAAGATGGTAAAGGCTGTTCTTTCATGGCTTCACAAACCTGTGAAATGCCTGATTTGTAGGGGAAAAATTATATTATCGCAAGCTTCCTATGCCTCAGATATTGTGCGAAGTGAAAAACAATGAACACATTATCTCATTTAATCCATGTAACAAAAGTATGAGGTATGTGCTATTATCCCCTTTCTATGTGTAAAGACACCGAAGTGAAACCATTTTAATTTTCCAATTAGGAAAACAATGTATGAAATATTCCTTGCTTATAGGGATTGCTGATCATAAGATGCTGGTGGCAAACCTGGGCAATAGTCTCAGCTGTTTGATGGACAGTCATACACAACTCAAATGCTACCTTATTTCTAGTACTGAACTGTAATCACCCTAAACTTCCACTTCCAAACTAAGACTCTCCTCTATTTAACATAACTCATTCGTTCAATCTGGAGACATCACTAAAAAAAATACTGAATAAAAACATTCAAAAGAAATCTTGAGCCAAAAGGAAATGATATATTGAATTCTGACTCAGTTAGACCTGGATGTGAATCCTGCAGGCTGAAGCACTGTGGGCTTTGGCTGCCTCAGCTTTAAAGTATCCTACAGACTCTAAGAAGAGATGAATTAAAATATGTGCAATGTTATATAATATATATGAAAGCAACATATAATTTTAATTGCTATTGCTCTTATTATTATGAATAAAGTAACAAAGAAGCGAAGTGACATAGAGGCAAATAGGATGTGTTGTGGAAATTAAATCAGACAGCTGTCTTTGGACCAGGAAATTCTCTCCTGGCGGGGCTAAGCATTCATTCTCGCTGATCTGAGCTGCTTTTGTAAGAATGGAATGGTGCTCTAGCTAGCACAGGGAAAAATCATCCTGGTTTTCTCTCTCTCTCTCTCTCTCTTCCTCCCTCTCGCTCTCCTTCTCTCCTCTTCACAGATCTTGGCTGCCTTACACTTTCGGCAAATGACATCTGAATCCGATGTGGAACAGAAGAACTCCCAGATCATGGCATTCCCTCTTAAACCTAGCTGTGCTGTCCTTAAGTAGCCAAAATGGATACGATCTCGCAAATGGAAGGCACACATGCTACATCCCCAACAGTTAAGTGTGGTCAAGCTGACCCCCGAGTCCCATATGCTGACAGCTTCATCACAACCAAAGGATTAGTTCAGAGCCATCAAACATACCAAGGCCAGGGCTCTGTACTTTAAGAAATATATCCACACAGACCCAAGGAGAAAAAGCGTTGGATACACTTAATTTGCAGCATGGGGAGGGGTAAGGGTAGGAATCCTTGATTAACAAAACACTAAGCCACAAAGCACCAGAGCATTCCTGAAAGCCTATGCTACCAAGTGAAATTCAGTCACTAGAGGCCAGATCTACCGCCAAAATTTTCCTTCTGCAAAATGTTTACACTGCAGACTTTTGCTGACCTTTTCCAGTAATGAAGTCAACCCTTCCAATGCATCAATCACTGATGCCTGGTAACTCAGGAAGAATTAGTACCCATTTACCGGGGAGGGTAATTCATCCCAAGATGGAAGAGAGGTGCTTTGTTTTTTAATTTTTTTTTAATTTAATATTTAGTAGGTTCTGTGATCACAGGGTTATGTTCCTTTTGGTAAAGCTCAGTTGTGAGTAAATTAAAACTGCAAATCACAGAAACAGAAATGAAAGACCCACTAAACTCTCCCTGAGCCACAATTATTCAACCTTAGTGCACTGCATAACTACACCTCTTAAGGCTGCTTGATGGGGAAAAAAAGTCCCCCAAATTGTGGCAACTATGAATCGTAGTTATATTACTAATCAGAATTAATACATGGATATCACTGAATGAGTAGTTGTTTTAGGAGGGAGGCCACCTTGGCCCTGGACAAAGAACAGCCTTTGAAAATTAAGTTTATGGATGTGTAAATGCAGAGTACATAATGTTGCAACTCTGCCTAAATGTTTTCATAAAGTGCAAATTAATGCAGAACCTAACTAGGCATTTGGAACGCTAACCTAGTTTTCTGTGTTTAGCTAATAGCTAGCAATTTTGCTTACACTTTTATCCTCTCATTACATGGCAATGATGATTATTTAGTAAATACATGTGAAAGGCCACATACTCTACAGCACCTCTTCTGGGTTAGAAATAACCCCCTCCTAAGACTTATGTTTATATAGTTTAGTTACTGATACACCAAATCAAGTATAGCTGGGATAAGGAGACCACTGCCTCTTTTGGAGACTAAGAACAGACTCATTCTCACATGGTTCCCCTGTGATGACCTGGCCACAGGCAGGAGAGGGACTGGGGACAAGGAAATGGGGCAGGGGTGGGGGTGTCCAGAGCTTCAGTGAATGTTAACCCTTCGTTAATCTTAAAGGGACTTAGCTGGCTTGTCTGCTTTGCCAATTATTTATGATGGTGGAGAGAGAGGGGAGGGCTATTTTCTAACTAGTGAAATATTATGAAACAAGAGATAGTTTGGGACACCCGGGTGGCTCAGCGGTTGAGCGCCTGCCTTCGACCCACGGTGTGATCCTGGAGTCCCGGGATCGAGCCCCACATCGGGCCCCCTGCACGGAGCCTGCTTCTCTCTCTGCTGTGTCTCCGCCTCTCTCTCTCTGTGCCTCTCATGAATAAATAAAATCTTAAAAAAAAAAAAAAAACCCAAGAGAGTTTGAAACAGACACGGAGAAGAGAAATATGTAAAATGTGCTCTTGTAGGATGCTATCCAGCCACTCCTACTAGACATATGATTGATATCAACCCTTATAAGTCACCTAAAAATTTTTCTTCTCAGATGCAGGATAGGGTAAAATAGGTCCCACTAGAAGATTTGGGGGTGGTCCCAGGGTACTTTTTATTGTCTCTCAAGTATACAATGTACCTCTGAAATATTTCCAAGGCAAAATTCTTAGCTGGGTGGCCAAGTCCCAAACACAATGATTTTGAATACAGGATTCCCCGTTCCTGCCCTAAGAGGACAAAGTTGAAACTGAACAGTGGTATTTGGAAGTAGGTCCAGGGTCGGCATAGACAAGGATTTTTAACATCCAGAACCCTCTCCGGCTTTGGGGGTCGGAACTGGCCCAGCTGAAGGAGGAGGCAGGAAACAGGGCCCTTCACCCCAATGCTGCTCCTCCTCTGTGCCTACTCACAGGGGCAAGGTTCCTGTTCTCTTCTGCTGACTTCCTGGGAAGTTGGCTGCGACCCAAATTCTGCAGAGGGAATGCAGGCACAGGGGACCAGTGCAAATGGGTCCTACCCTGGGTACCTTAATGGCAGGTATGAGGGGAAACCGGTAAGACACGGTCTGTGGGAGGAGCCACTGCACTGAACCTGGAAATACTGCTGATCCTGGGGCTTTTTCTCATGGCTCCCCCTGCACCAACAAACACACTGCCTGGAAATCAGACTCCCTGCAACACACAGACACGGGCACAGGCAGACACAAGCCCTACCCCATCCACCAAGTAGCTCCTGAAACCACAGACTGGCGCAAGTAGCCTGGGCTCAGTGAGTCTGAGCTAGCACATCCTTGCCTCTGGGAAGAAGAAAGGCTACGACCGAGAGTGCTATTTATGATTTGTGTTGTTGCAGGCCGGTTTTGCCTTTACTTGCTGTGGAGCAGGGCGTGCTAGCATGTTTCAGACCATAAAGACCAGTCCTGATGTGCTTGGGCAAGGCCGGGAGGATCTCCACATCCCTTTGGTCCCTGCTGGGGGCACTCTCTAGTCCCGCATCCTCCCGCAGTCTCTTGAAAGTGCCCAGATAGCAGGGCAGGGCTCTGCGTCCATCTTGCCAGCTAGGACCCACGGAGTTTGGGAACTTTGAAAGCCAGGGGATGGGGGCGGGGGTTTGCCAAGGCTCAGATTCCCTGGCCAGAGTTCTCAGCCAGGTAAGCAGTTGAAAATGAACACCCATCTGCCTCTTCGTTCTTATCCCTGCCCCTTCTGTGTTCCAGGACTCCATACAGACGCTAACCACAACACAGACACACAGACACACAGGAGCGCGCGCGCGCACACACACACACACACACACACACACGCGCGCGCGCGCACACCCTTGGGCTTAGGTTTTTAGTTCTGAAGGCAGCAAACCCAAAGAGCTGCGAGGGTCTCCGCCACCACCCCCTCCCCCTCCCACCCTGCGAGGCCACTTGACAGTCTACACACAATAAAACCCCACACATTCCAAACAGCACAACGTAACCCAAACCCGCCGGTGACTCCAGCGCGTCCCATACCTGATATGCAGACGATGAAATTGGCTTGAAGAAGAAAAAGCACCTCCCAGACTATTTCCATCCTCTGATTCTCATTCCAAGTGCATCACTCGACGGGAAAACAGGGGGGGAAGGGGAGAGCCCGACACGGCACACGCACATACAAACGCGCACACACTTGCGAGCGAGCGCACACTCGCACTCCCACCCGACAGCCGGCCAGGGACGGTCACCCCCAAGATCAATATCGCAGTTTGAACTGTTCCGGCAAATCTCCCCTCGGGCTCGACGGACGTGCGCCCCAGATGTGCTGACACATGTCCGATGCCTCGCTGCCCCGGAGGTCTCCGCGATCGCCGGTCCCTGCTCCTCTCCCGAGGGGCGGAAACGGCACCGGCAGCGGCGGCGGCGGCAGCCACCTGAAGCCACCAGCGCCGGGCTCTTCCTGCAAAAACGAGACCCCGAGCCGCCTGGCGCCCCAAGAAGACATAGACGAGAGCCCCCCGCCGGGCCGCGCCGCACAGTTCCGGGCCCCCGGCGCTCGGCGCTCGGCGCTCGCAGCTCGCTCGCTACGCCCAGGCAGTCGGCGACAAGTTGCCCTCGAAGTCCGCCCCCCTCACCGGGGCATGGTCACAGGCTGGCTGCCGCGCTCGGGGCCGCTCTCCTCCTGCTGCCGGGGGGCGGGGGGAGGAGACGACACCGCAGACAGGGGAGACAGAAAAAGAGAGGCAGGAATTATTGCCCGAAACCGCCGGCAGCCTCCGCCGACCCTCCCTGCTCCCCAAGTCCGCGCGCAGCCCGCCGCCTGCGAGCCCCGCTCGGGAGGCGCGTGCAGGGCGCCGAGCGCCCAAGGCGGGGGCCGGGGACCCGGGCGCGTCGGGGGCCCGCGGGCTCCCCACGTCGCGCGCGCGCCTCCCGTTCCTCTGCTATTTTGCTGGGCTCCCCGGAACCCCCAGTTGCCTCGCTTCCATCGCCCGCAACTAGCGCCAAGCCGCCGCCGCCGCCGCCGCCGCCGCCGCCGCGATTTTCCGCAATGCAACTGCAGGGGTCGTTATTTCCTCGCCTACGGAGCCCGACGCTGCCCGATTCGGAGGGGAGGAGGAGGAGGGGGAGGGCAGGTGGGGGCGGGAGGGGGGGAGGCGGGGGCGGCCCGGCCAGGTGAGCGTCCCCCCCCCCTCCCGCCGCCGCCGCCAGCCCCCGCGGCAGCCCCGCCGCCCGGCGCCCAGGGGCGGAGGCAGAGGCCGGGCCGGGGAGCCGAGGCTGAGCGCGGCCAGAAGGGGGAGGCGAGCGCTGGGCGTCGGAGCTGCGGGCCGGCCTGGGGGCGCCTGGGCCCCGGCCGCTCGGTCGCCCTCCGGGATCGGGGAGTTGCTCATGTCCTCGGAAAGAACTTCGCGCCAGCCGCTCGGGCGCGGGGAACCCGGGGGGGGGGCGCTCAGCCGGGGCGCTGTGCCGCGCTCTCCCTCTGCTGCGGAATAGTGGGGATTTTTTTTTTTTTTTTTTTTGCATAACTCATTCCCTGCCCTCTCCCTCTCGTCCCTCTCCTGCCCCCCTCCTCCTTCCCCCTGCCTCTCCAGTGCCAGCACACTACTTACCCCAGAGTTCTCCTCTCTGCGCCTTCCTAGACCCGGTGCAACTCTGGCCCGCGAGTCCCTCACCTCCCTCCTCCCCGAAGGGGGGAAAACCGTCTTTCCAAGTCCGGGTGCGAGCAGCGGCCGCCGCCAACTGCGCCTCTGCTCGGCTCCCGGCGGATCCGAGACTACTGGAAACCCGGACTTTCGGGGAGCGGGCTTCCCTTCTTTTCGGTCTTTTATTCCGTGTTTCTTTCGGGGAAGCTCAAGTGCTTTGGAGGCTTTTGCTGGGCTCCAGAATACTCTCTGCCAGCGACACCCAGCAGCTTCCACGGAAGGAGATTCCCCCACCGACTCCGCGCGCGCGCGCGCACACGCCCAGCGCGCGGCTCTCCGAGGCCCCGGGGGAAGGTGGGGGCGGCGTGAGCACCACCCACCGCGGCGGCAGAGGCCCAGGCCCAGGCCGGAGGCCGCCGGTGCGCAGAGCCGCTCGCCGCGACCCGGGGAAGGACGCGCACGCGGGCAGCCGCTTGGAATGCAGATGCGGGAAACTGGGAGGAAACCTTGCGCTCGGGACCGTTCGCCCGAGAAGAGGGCTGGGAGCAAGAGAAGGAAAGAAGAACCGTGGCAACATTTGCATTGCCTCTGTCGCCGCCGCCGCGCTTTGAGAAATCCCCAGACCTACCTCTTTGCGAGTGCTGAAGAAGAGGAGGGTAAGGGAGGGGAATCCCTGGAAAGATCTCGGGTTTCTCGGCGCGCTTGCCCGGGTTGCCAACTGTGACGTTTGGAGATTTTGCACAAGCGCGGATGGACACACATAATAACAAATACAAACACACACGAAAGCCGCAGGGGATTTTTTTTTTTTACACTTTTTTTATTTCTGGTGTCTAGAATCCATTTCAGTGTGAGTCTCGGTCCAATGAACGCAGGAAGGCTAGATAAGTGGAGAGGGAAGAGGAAAGAGGGTACCACCGTTCATGCGCACAGAGTCCATTTAGTGAGGCTTCCAGGCTCTGTGACATCTGCTGGGGCAGGGCTTGGAGCCAAAAGGAGTAACACTGCGGCGCACCCAGGCTTCTTGAACCGACTCCAGCTGCCCGGGAGTCTGGCGGGTCTTTTCTGCAGAGTGGCGGGAGAGGGGGTGGAGGTGGGAGGAAGCCAAGCCCAACAGCGTGAGCGTCTTGGGTTGGGCAGACTTGGGGAGCTGTGTTGTCCTGATGCCTCTGGGGATTGAGAAGGAGAACCACCGGCGGACTTGCTTTAAGGGATCTGGTCTCCGAAGACGGCCAAGGACTCCAGGTGGTCAGCACGTTAAGAGATCTGGGCCCAGATGAAGAAAGTCCCAAGATTCTGACGCGGGGAGCTTTTGAGGCTCTCTCCGCAGGGGAGAACATTTAAAGAATCTAAGGGAGTGAGCATTAGCCCCTTTGGGAAATATACGGGTGATGTTTGTCACCGCGCCTTGAAAGTAGACCGCGCGAAAGGGATTTTTGAAGGGAAAGAAAAGAAAAAGAAAAAGCAGTTTGCTTCAGATGAAGAAATCCCACCCTAGCCAGGGTTTGGAAACATGAACAGTGATCGACCTTCTGCACTTGGGAGTGGAATTTGCTGCCAGCAGGAGAGCTGTCTCTGGAAGCAAGAAGCAGGGTGCCTGGATTTTTATACCAAGACCCATTTATTTATTAATGAATTATGCATACATTAAGCGAGTACCTTATATGTCGAAGCTACGTGGCAAGATGCTGGAGTTTTGTAATTGAAAAATCCATAATCCATTCTTTCAGAATGCTCACAGATCATATTTTCTGCTACATTTTGCCTTAAAAGCCAATGCCAGTAAGATAATACTTACTTAATTTTCCCCTTTCCAACTTGGGCACTGACCTTTTGCACTCTCAAGGAATATTTAATCTATGCTCTGCCACCAAGTCCTTTCAGGGAAAAAAAAATCGATTCATATGATAGTATTTAAGTAAAAACAGTGGCCTGCATTGATTTTTGCTCATGTCATGCATTGCCAAATCTCTTATGTGAATTATCTTTACATCTATATGAGAGAAATATCATTATTGCTTCCATTTTACAGATGATGGAAACAAGAGCCCCAGACTAGTTATTTGCCCAAGGTGTCACAGTTATTAGTTGGTAGTGTAGAGATCAGAGCCAGGCATTTCACACGCAGAGGACATGCCACACCATCTCCCTTCCTGCTCTGCAAAATGAAAAGTATCATCTTGGGGAGGTTATTTCGTTTTGAGGTAAAGCAGAAGTCCACATGTGGCACAGCTAGAAGTTAAACAAAGGCAGGGTGGAATGTAATGGTATCTTGTGCAGTTTAGAGCTTAACTGCTGTTGAACTGAGAGAAAGACAAGATAAGGGAATCAGGGGTAAGTAATCAAAGACAGTTCTAATGAAAGAATCTGAAAGCCTGCTAATTGCCAATTCTGTTTTTGATGCTTGGAAGGCAGCACTGCACACAACGCTTCCTCAATACTTAGTTTCAATATTCTCATTTTCTAGAAGAAAAAAAAAGAAACATTTTCTTGACTCATTGCTAGGCTTAACCTGTATGTTTTTAAAGAAAAGCTCCATGTTAACCCAGAAGATAACTCAGAAAAAGCATGTGCTAAATAGGAACCTTCTGTCTTCACTCTTTATTGAAGTATTTAGTTTTTTTAGTCTGTAAAAGAAATGAAAACATAACTGTGTAGCTGGAAAATACTAATGCATAAATTTTTTTCATATTTTAATGAGCTAGTACCCATATCTTGATAACAACAGAGAATCTCTCTCCCCAGTATCTGCCTTCATCTTTTGTCTCTGTCCTACCCAACATCTCTCCCCTACAAATTCAGTGCAAGTATGCTGCACGTATAATAGAAAGTCTTTGCTGAGCCCAACTGTGGGGGCCAATTCCAGCTTCCCATAGAAAGCAGATTACAGTTCTCCCTAGGAAAAGACAGTATTGAAATCCTTTGGATTCTCTCTCTACCTTCTCTCTTTTTCTAAAAGATTTTATTTATTTATTTGAGAGAGAGAGAGAAAGCACAGAGGGAGAGGGAGAAGCAGACTCCCTCCTGAGCAGAGAGCCTCATGTGAGGGACCATGTGAGGCTTGATCCCAGGCTCTGAGATTATGACCTAAACTGAAGGCATGTGCTTAACCAACTGAGCCATGCAGGCACTCCCTACCTTCTCTTTTTGTCAACCTCAGAGAAGGTAAAATACTGATTCGTAAAATCTTTGCAAGCTTGGCATCCATTAAGGCACATTCTCCAGTGGCTGGATATCTGTATTTGGAGCCAAGCAGATCCACCTCTCTTGATGTACCTGTGTTCAGGCACAGTGGACTCATTATTTCACTAGTCCTTGCCATATCTAATTTGGAAAGAAGAGTGGTTGTCTAAGGGAGGTAGAGGACCTCTTTATTTGAGAGGTCACGTATATTCTTTGGCTCGTGGATCCTTTTCAGCAATAGCTTTACTCCAACTTCTGCTTCCGTCTTTACCCCCTGTTTTCTTTAAAACAACCTTTGTGATTACATTGGCCCACATTGTCTAGATAATCCAG